ATCACAAAGAAATGGCAAGTGACGGTGAATTAAATATGAAATTTTGAAGTAGACTGAAAGAGTATTTTCTTGTAAAACCTACTCCAATAATCTTTGTTTTACTTACAACTTTGAAAATGTCTTACAGTGCATGCATTATGAAAGCAATATTAAAATATAAACCTTTTGCATAAAATGAACCTCATTACTAAATTTAAACAATTCTGGAAAAAAAATGATGGGTCATTTTTAGGTATGTTTAAGGCAACACTATGAAACAAAGGAAAGAATGGATGTATATATCATAGGTGTTCGTTTATTAATTCATTTCTTCCACTGATGTCAGAATATCAATGCAAGTAAAGAATTTTATAAGACTACATATCAATAACTTAAACAATCTTAACTGCTACATGACCAAATCAAATAAAACTGGCTCCTATATAGCTTAACCTTTCAAATGTACACTGCGAAGGTCTACAGTTAAATAATAAATCTAACTATAATATTCTCTACAGTGGCTGCATCCGTATCCACAGTCACATATTGCTGCTTCCAAACAAACACATTTACACAATTACTCACAGCAAACAAACCATTCAAGCTTTGTTTTCAAATGAAGTTTACTCACTAGCAAATGTGAGTCATGTTTTTGATGGATGAAAAAAAAACTAGCATTTCTGAAAATGTGTGTCCTTCTTCACATGATGCACCAGGCCAGAAAAAGGCTTTTTACTGCATCATGCATCTACAAAGTAAATAAAGATTCATCAACAGATGAATATCAGTGGATCACTGCATTTGTTTATTTCACTTATTAAACATCAAACCGAGTGGTTTGGTCTGTTGTGGCCAAATATTCAGACAAATTAAATTAATCCGCATGCTGCACAAGATCTGTAAGTAAATTGGCTCTGCAAGCAAACTTAAGTCCTTCGTTTTCAGATGAGTAAACAAAAGCACAAGCGCCACCATCGATTTTCATTCACAACTGGCCTATTTAACGCAACGCTGCAGCCATGCACACAGACGCTGGTCTGTTCAGCACAATGCTGTAAACAAAATAGTGCAAAGTCTGCCTTGAAATAAGGGAATAGATTAATCAAAAATGATTCGGTCATCGTGTGTTCATTCTAAACCTGCAGGACTTTCTTTCTCCTGTGGAATATTTTTCAAAGAAGTTCAAAAGTGTCATAAAAGTAGTGCACTTTGTTTCTTTGTTTTCTCACGTTAAAAGTATTATGGACTAGATCTATGATACTTTTGCATCTCTTTCCTTTTAAGTTTGAAAGCCTCAGACGGAGTCATTTTGTTTTCAAAGAAAAAAGAAATTCAAACTGGTTTGGAACAACATGATGGTGAGCAAATGACATAATTTTGTATTTCTGCACAAACTACGACAACGAATGCAGGAAACAGTACCTTGAGCGAGGTACTTTCTATTCAATCTTCTGAGGAATAAAGTTAGACACCGCTCTTTCCACAAAGGCCATCTTGTAAGGAGCGCACACGACCCAGTTCTAGAAGGGTGCTTCAATAACATTAGCAAAAGCAATTAACCTTTAGCCGGCAGCTCCTTAAAGTGAACAGGGTGCAAATGTTACTTTATTCACACTGATTACATATACTATAATAGACAAGCATCTGAGATACTTACCTAGAACGGATGGAAACCCACGTATAAACTCTTTGAGACAAACGTGGCCTTACCACCTTTGTTTTCTGATAGAAAAAACACTCCTCGTTCTCAAAGATGACTACTTGGGGGGAAAAAATTATAATAATAAACCAGTCTAAGGTGGTTTATGCTGGTCAAGCTGATGTTTAGCTGGTCTAACCCCATCTAAATCCAGCAAAACAGACCCGTTTGGCCAGTCTGGGAGACCAGACAATCACTTTAGGTTAGTTTAAGCTATTTTTCAGCAGGGCTACTAGATTACATGTAAATATAACTTTTTGTTCCCTTGTAAAATCGCTTATTTTTCCCAATTCTGAAGCAAACTGAAACATCTATGACCATAATAATGTATTATCTAATATATAAATGACTGTTTTACTTTGTGGTGCTGTTCACTTTGTAAATACAATAATTCTGCATTGACTTTAAGGCAGCATCATGTTCTTTCATCGTTCAGTTTCAATTCCAATGAAACAGCAGAACCAGATAATCAAGCTCCGCAGGTTTGCCTGAAAATTACAGGAGGCCTGCAACTCAGCGGGAAAGATTTCCAGGAGCTGGATTGGGCACGTCTAATCTGAAAAAAAAAAAACATCCACTTCACGGTGATTCGTATTTTCTGAGTGTAAAAGAACAGCTTGCATGCTGATGTGATTTTAGCATTTCAAAAAATACTGGCCATCTCAGGAGATGAACGAGGTTACTGGAGGTTAAATAGGAGATTTCCTCTGTTAAACCTCAATCAACGTACAAGCTCTTTAAAAACTGAAACAACTGAATATTGATAAAGACATTAGATAATCAAACCCAGTTCTTAACAAAACCACTGAGATGATAATTGCAGGAAATGTTAAGATTCAAGTAAAAATAGATTTGATTTTAGATGTTTCAAATCACCCCAAAACCTAGATGATGTAAGAACCCTCATAATAGAGAAGACATGAAATAGAAACTGGATATCAATATTAATTAATTTTACCATTAACACCTAATTAATTTGCGATAGTATCATAATTAGCATATGAATGAAGTGTTTTAGCACAGTGATTCATAACCTTGGCCTGGTAACTCAAGGATCCTGGGTTCAAATCTCATAAAGGCTCAAACAATCAACTGAGAATTGAGCAACATTTGCTCATTGGAAAAATGTGCTGTCATCTACATTTTGAATAACTGCAAAAACATACCTATAATTACAATTCACAACAGTTTCCTGCTGATATAAACTCTAGTAGCAGTAAAACACCAATAGCTTTTATTCTTTTTCACAAAAATTATAATTACAGTGGCAGAATATTTATTAATAAAGAGTTATTTTCATGCATAATACTATGTTATGACTAGTGGTCGACCGATATTGTTTTTTTTGACAGCCGATGCCGATATCTTGCAAACCAGGGTGGCCGATGGCCGATATAAAGCAGATATAATTTGATTTATTTTAATTGATATTTAAGAAATTTTAAATAATTTGAAAATGGATTAAAAAATTATTATGTTAAATAAACATACTTATACTTTAGATGACAAAGTATATCACAAATAAATAAATATTTAATAAAAATATAATTAAAAAGGAAGTAAACACTGTAACCAACAAGGCACTCAGTATTCTGGGAAGTTTGTGTGCATTGGGAATCATATTTTTTCAAATAAAGCCAAGGTAATACTCATTTTACATACAGCACACAGTGGAAATGACATGAATATGGCAGTGGGCAAATGCATACAGCACAGCTTAATTTGAAATCACTAGTTTAAAGTTTGTCGATCGCGCGTCTCAGTGAAGCTGAACTCTCCTCCTGTCCGCGTTCAATTCACACGGATCGACCGCCACCCAGAGAACATGCGATCACGCAGGATACAAATGCACACTTCACAAGATCACACAGCTGGATCTGACTAAGTTTGCAAGGTTTGTGAAATTAAATGCTCATTAGTCATTCAAAGATTTGTTTAAATTATATAAATTCATATTTGCTGAATGCTGACGGCAAACAAGAAAGTATTATAATGTTTGCCTTTCTATTACTAATAATATAAAAGCAATCGTTATAATACTTTTTGTATACATTTTAATTCCTTTGTTTAACCGTTCTATTTGATTAGTAGACCGTATTAGACATCTATCCTAGACCATATTAGACATCTATCCATATTAGACAGAACAACAGCGAACAAGAGGGAGAATGTGAACACTGTGTGCTCAGGCACTGCCATTCTCAGCGCCGTCAAAATAAAAGTCCCGCCACGAACGCATCGGCCAATGCCGATATTTGAAAAATGCCAAATATCGGCCGATATATCGGCATTGGCGACCACTAGTTATGACCTCAAAATGCTTTTTTCATAGTGCATGATTTGTGGACTAATACATTTTGATGTTTGCATCACATAACTAGCTCTAGATGTTTGGCTGTTCTGACATAGGCCTAGTAAACTTGCTTGTAAGCTCACCTGGTACAGCATTGCAATTGCAATGTTGAGCATTTAAAGTCACAAAAAAAAGAGCACAAAGACTTGAAGCAAAATGAAATTGCATTGTTATTTCAGCAGATACTGTTCATCTGTTTCAGATAAAACTGAACATGCTTTTAGCACCGCTCATTTGACATCTGGGTCTCAAAACATGCAAGAAGCAATGCAATATCATTTAGCAGAAATGTCGTCACATGCACATATTTCCAATGAGCCTTTTCCCAATTAGAATAAACACTTGCAAAGTAAATCAGCCACTGGATTATGCAAATTAGGGTCTTATGTGGTTATTTGATACATTAACTACTTATTCATTCGATTTCTAACAAAAAATAACTATATTGAGACTCCACTAACAATACAAAATTACTCACACCGTGATAAACATGCATTAATATTGTATTAGAATTCATAATGTTGTAGTGACAAACTAATTTTCCGAATCCGATTCGCTGCTGACATTGCAGATCTCACGCTTTTCCATGCAATGCAACTTGGGTTTTCCCTTTAATCTCCATCTATAAATCCTGACATGCGCCAATTAAGTTGTCTGGATGTAAGAGGCAAAAGAACAGGCTCCTCTGAGACCGTCACACAGCGGGGATCCAAGCGTGAGATCTCAGCCACAACACCATCCTCAAAGAACCACATCCATCATCTTCATAAAGGCCTCGAGAGCACAAACCACATCCACAACATATTCAAGGAATGTTCCGGGTTTAATACAACTTAAACTGTGTGGACAACATCTGCAGAAAATACATCTGCTGTCTCTGTTTGATTTCTAATCATAATAATCTTCAACATTAAATCACTAAAGCACTGATACAGGACAAATGTCTTGCTCAATTTCAAAACTACTCACCACACAGCGTCTCTGATCGATGCACATCATATAGGACAGTCGTGCGCTTTTCTCCTCTAAATCACACGCCACCTGTTAAAGAAATGAGAAACGTCCATCATGAATAAGTCATTAATCAGATTATTTTAGAGAGCGCTGCTCAGAGGACACAGGGACACTTAACACGGTTTTCAATGTCAAGTCAGCATGAACCTGTTTTTAACGACCTCTCAAAGACAATAAATCAGTTCTGTAGCCATAAATGATTTCCAGAGCAGCAGCATCAACTGTTATTAACACAGAAGAATAACAGTGCATAGAAACACATGAAACCTTTATGAAAGAAGCCATTACTGAAAAACATCAAAACAAAAGACAAATACCATTTTTATATGACCCCCACAATTACCACCAAAATGTACATGTTATAAATTATAAATAAAAATTATATATGACCCTGGACCACAAAACCAGTCATAAGGGTACATTTTTTGAAATTGAGATTTATACATCAACTGAAAGCTGAACAAATAAGCTTTCTATTGATGTACGGTTTGTTAGGATAGGACAATATTTGGTCGAGATTCTGTACAACTAGCCTATTTGAAAATCTGTAATATGAGGGTGCAAAAAATCTAAATATTGAGAAAATCGCCTTTAAAGTTGTCCAAATGAAGTCCTTAGCAATGCATATTACTAATCAAAAATTACATTTTGATATATTTACGGTAGGAAATTTACAAAATATCTTCATAGAACATGATCTTTACTTAATATCCTAATGATTTTTGGCATAAAATAAATAATAATTAAAAAAAAAGATAATTTTGACCCATACAATGCATTGTTGGCTATTGCTACAAATATACCCGTGCGACTTAAGACTGGTTTTGTGCTCCAGGGTAGGCTTGCTGCGATAGACGATGTTTTCGGTTATACCGGTGTTAAGCAGCAACAGCGGTTCCGTCATTTGCCTACCGCGGCACCGCCCCCCACCGTCATTTAGATTTTTTTTATAGTAACAAAAATAATTTAGCCTAGTTCAGTTAGAGGACAGATACTTTTAAAAACTAAACACTCAATGCAGCGTGCCGAACCGTGCGCGAACGACAGTGCACCGCGGAGCAGGAGTCAGATTTTATTTATCACGTGAAGAGAGTGAGTCGAGCTGACTGACAAGAGTGAGGTGAGAAAGAAAAGACGATGGCAGAAGATTGTTTAGAAAGGAAATGCAAAGGCACCTGTTTGGCAATATTTTAGATTTTGAAAAGCCTATTGACCGGAAGTTTTTTTAAACATTCGTTTCTTATTTATTTGGTTCCACAGTGTTTGCTGATTACTTTATTTAAACTTTGTGTATTTTATTTATTTAATTTTACATCAAGATGTATATGCCGTGCCTCCAAGCTTTCTTA